TCTGTAGATCACGCCAGATGAAGCGCAGCAGAGGGCAGTCCTCAGGCAACAACCTGGTGGAACATTCCCTTTATGTCACTGCTGACAGCAACGGAATGTTCCCTGAACCGCAGTAGGACACCCAGGAGGGATGCGTCCAGGTTTGGGCCGGACAGCAGTAGCTCGTTTAGGTTCTTATCCCTATAGGTATAGGAACAGTTGAACACAAGCTTCAGAGGAACGGATACAATGTTACTGTAACTTGTAATACACTTAAATCACCATTGTGAGTCTCTTCTTCTCTTGGCTAGTAGTGGCAGTGGCAGTAGTGGTATGTTTGTATGGTCCTGAAGTAAACTACTCCTGTAAGTTTGTAGCAGTACCCTGATCAAAAGTTTCTCCTCAGGTGTGACCATTCTGTGTTTGTGTTGTGATGAAACCTCCCCTTGAAAGTGGGGATTGGCTCCCCACAACCTTATGGTTCACAAGAACAAACAGAATGGCAGTGAGTGCATTACAGATGTCCTGGATGAACAGATGTGGTGTGTTCATCCAAATGGCAGTACAAAGCTTTCCAAGACTACTAGTGACTCCAGTCTTAAGTACCGTCTTAACTGCTGGGTCAAGCTTTGTATGCTGTTTGACAGCATAAACAATCGCATGTGCCTGCCACCCACCTCTGCCTGCCCTCCCGACATGCTAAACCATGGCTTCCAAATCATCTGGCAACCCATACATTACAAGGTGTGATACGGTGGGAAAATTTTGGCCCATCCCAAGAGCTGTTGTTGCCGCCACAACTCGGCAGCTAGCCTGTCCACTCAGAGATGACAGCACTCTGTTCTTATACTGAGGGAGTGTCTGGCTGTGGAACATGCCTATAAGCAGGTTTTCAATCTTTTTCTCAATTCAATTCAATTCAGTTTATTTATATAGCGCCAAATTCACAACACATGTCATCTCAAGGCACTTTACAGTTCAACCAGATCTTACAGTCAAATTGATACAAAGTTTTCTATCTAAGGAAAACCAGTTGATTGCATTGAGTCATTGACTCAAATACAATCCCTCACACTAAGCATCCTTGTAGCGACAGTGGAGAGGAAAAACTCCCTTTGAACAGGAAGAAACGTCCAGCAGAACCAGGCTCAGTGTGAGCGGCCATCTGCCGAGGCCGACTGGGGTTCAAGGAGACAGAAGCAGAGATACAAAAAGCAGCTGTAAAAAGGCGGCCCCATCCAGGAAACACACAGCCAGGCAGACGAGCTCCAAGGCAGCTTCCATGCCAGAGGACGAAGAGAGCACATCCACTCAGTCACGGCCAGAGAAACAGGACCACACTGGAAAACAGGCCGATCTCCAACATCTATAAACAAGGGTGTTGATGGAAGCAGCACAGCTGATGTTTCTTTCCAGGATGACGTCACAGCCAAACAGGAACAGACGAGGCAAAGCTACTCTGAGGAAAAGCAGAGAGAGCAGAAGGTTAGAGATTGAACTAACAGATTCTGCAGAATAGGAGAACAGAGAGAGAATGAAGTAGAATGATGAAATGGGGGTCCCTATGTCCTCCAGAAGTCTAAGCCTATAGCAGCATAACTATAGAGATAGCTCAGGATAACCTGAGCCACCCTAACTATAAGCTTTATCAAAAAGGAAAGTTTTAAGTCTAACCTTAAAAGTAGACAGGGTGTCTGCCTCACGGACTAAAACTGGTAGTTGGTTCCAAAGGAGAGGAGCCTGAGAACTAAAAGATCTGCCTCCCATTCTACTTTTAGAAATTCTAGGAACCACTAGTAAACCTGCAGATTGAGATCGAAGTGCTCTGTTAGGAACATAAGGAACAATCAGATCTCTGATATCAGATGGAGCTTGGCCATTTAAGGCTTTATATGTGAGAAGGAGGATTTTAAATTCTATTCTTGATTTAACAGGAAGCCAATGAAGAGAAGCCAGGATAGGAGAGATATGATCTCTCTTTTTAATTTTCATCAGAACTCTGGCTACAGCATTTTGGATCAGCTGAAGGCTTTTAACTACAGTTTGTGGACTTCCTGATAGTAAAGAATTACAATAGTCCAGCCTTGAAGTAACAAATGCATGGACTAGTTTCTCAGCATCACCCCTGGACAGGAGAATTCTAATTTTTGCAATGTTCCTCAGATGAAAGAAGGAAATTCTAGAAACCTCTTTGATATGGGATTTAAATGACAGGTCCTGATCAAAAATAACACCAAGATTTTTTACTTTATTATCTGAAATCAGTTTAATCCCCTCCAAATGAAGTGACTGGCTAATCAGCTTCTTTTTCAGAGTCTCTGGTCCAAAGACTATAACTTTTGTTTTGTCTGCATTCAGAAGCAGAAAGTTAAGTCATCCAGGTTTTTATGTCTTGAAGACATGCCTGTGATCTATGTAATGGGTTAGCTTCATCTGGATTTATAGACAGATATAGCTGGGTATCATCAGCATAACAGTGAAAATTAATCCCATGCTGTCTAATAATTCTACCGATTGGTAGCATGTATAAAGTAAAGAGAATTGGTCCTAGCACTGATCCCTATGGTACTCCACAGGTAACCTTTGAGCGTGTTGAAGATCTATCATTAACATGAACAAACTGAATTCAATCAGATAGATAAGATTTAAACCAGTCTAGAGCTGTTCCTTTAATTCCAACAAAATATTCAAGTCTTTCTAAAAGAATATTCTGATCAACTGGATCAAATGCAGCACTGAGATCCAACAGGACGAGCACACATACAAGTCCATTATCTGAGGCCATGAGAATATCATTAGTGACTTTCAACAGAGCTGTTTCAGTGCTATGATGAGCTCTAAAGCCAGACTGAAACTCTTCAAAAAGTTCATTATGGTGTAAGTGATCGCAAACTTGTTTGGCAACTACTTTCTCAAGAATTTTGGATAAGAAAGGAAGATTGGATATAGGTCTATAATTGACCAAGTCATCTGGGTCAAGAGACGGTTTCTTAAGCAGAGGTTTAATTACAGCAACCTTAAAAGCTTTAGGTACATATCCCTGAAACAGAGATAGATTAATCACATCTAAAATGGAGGAGGAGATCAAAGGGAATACCTCCTTAAATAACCTGGTTGGAACTGGATCTAACATACAAGTTGAAGGCTTAAATTAAGGGTTAAATGTTCAAAAGAGTTGTAGGTATTAACTGTTTTGGGAGTAATCAGTAAGTCAGACTGGAAGATTGTCGCTACTCCTCCTCCTCGCGCAGAACTTCTGGGTATGTGAAAATTTAAATAGCTTGAAGGAGTTGCCTCATTTATGCTCACATAATCCTCTTGCTGCAGCCAGGTTTCTGTAAGGCAACACAAGTCAATGTGATTATCACAAATCAAGTCATTAACTAGCAGACTTTTAGAGGAAAGCGATCTTATGTTAAACAGACCGCATTTAATTGTTTTAACTTTTTCCCCAATTGGAGTTATTTTGATTTTAATTAGATTATCATGATTTACTCCTTTGGGGATCTTTGCTAATTTATTAGATTTTGGTCGTGGGCAAGACACTGTCTGGATGGAGTAAAGAGTGGGTAACAGTAGAGAAGCTGCAAAGATGTGTGTTAAAATACAACTCTGCTTCCTGGTCTGCACCCTGGGTGGTCAGGGTTTTGGAGGACTAATAAATGTGGCCAGATTCCTAGAAAGAAGAGCTGCACCATCCAAAGTGGGATGGATGCCGTCTCTCCGAATCAGACCAGGCTTTCCCCAAAAGGATTGCTAATTATTAATGTAGCCCACGTTGTTTTCAGGACACCACCTAGACAACCAGCGGTTGAATGACGACATGCGGCTAAACATGTCATCACTGGTCAGATTAGGGACACCCTCGCCTCCAAAGTTACAAAAATACTACACTTATTACACATCCCATTATCACTAAAGGAGGCAGAGGAATAACTGAACATCTGACACAGAGAGCAGGAGAGAGGAGAGGAAGAAGGAAGAGTTGGAAAAGAGTCAAGGGAGGGAGAGAGAGAAGCCATAGCAATGCTAAGCTAGCGCTAGCCTAGGCTAGCTACTCCTTGCTATCAGAAATAAAACCGTGTGAAACTGACAAGTGCTCAGTAGAAAAGTGCAGCAGAAGGTGCTATGTTTTTAAAGTAGTCAGTTAGAGTTACTTAGATACAGAGATATCACAGAGAAAATAACTTAACTTCAGATGGAGTTCCTCTGGACAGCTGCACACTCAGTTAAAGGAATAGTGCACCCAAAACATGATTAGCCTTCATTTTCTACTCACCCCCATGCTGAACAACACTCTGGAGTACTTTTTTGATATCTCAAATGCATCTGGAGATCTGGGAGGCTTCTTGCTGTCTGCTGACATTCAAATAATGGAGGTCTATGGCGACCGAGGCAGAAAGGTCCATAAAAGTCCACAAAAAACGTGTCAATATTCCTCCATACTGCTCGTCCAATGTATTCCAAGTGTCCTGAGTGGGTAGCATCCAGAATTTACTCGAAACGAAGTCATTTAGAATGTTTTTAGAGCATTAACAGTAGTGTATAGGATTTCCTGAAAGCGCGCACATGCGCGTTCACGACGCTACGGAAGCCGGCAGACCAAACCAGCGCATTCAGCTCGGCAAAGAACTCATGCTCTTCCTCAACACTGAAGTCCTCAGACATTTTTCTTTCGTTGTTTCTTTCTTTGCACAGGTAAACGGCACATTTCTTCTTCTACGCTTGCATTATTGGCAGAGCAGACGCTGAATGCGCACTTTCATCTGGTTTGGTCTGCCGGCTTCAGTAGCGTCGAGTAAATTCTGGATGCTACCCACTCAGGACACTTGGAATACATTGGACGAGCAGTATGGAGGAATATTGACACGTTTTTTGTGGACTTTTATGGACCTTTCTGCCTCGGTCGCCATAGTCCTCCATTATTTGAATGTCAGCAGACAGCAAGAAGCCTCCCAGATCTCCAGATGCATTTGAGATATCAAAAAAGTACTCCAGAGTGTTGTTCAGCATGGGGGTGAGTAGAAAATGAAGGCTAATCATGTTTTGGGTGTACTATTCCTTTAATCCAAACAGGAAGTGAACAGGATCTCGGTCAACCCAGGAATCTTCACCGAGTTCTCCCTTCAAATGGCAGAACACTCTGCCAACTGCCTTAATGGTTTTGCAGTAGATAATTACTGGCAACATGGATATACCCTTTTCTTTCACATCCCTCACAATCCAGTGTAGGCACTCCAGTGTATGGCCGGGTACTTTAATCAGACCCAGTCTGATGTTTGTTCTGTTAGTGCTCAGAGCCAAAATGATTGGATTGTCCATCTGAAGCTGTTTCATAACCCTGGTTCTGGATTCCCGATCAGCAGAAGCAGTCAATCCCAGCACAGGTGTACCTGGAATATATAGCAGTACAAAAAGCAACCAATAAGTAACAGTAAAGATAATAAATCAGCAGAGGTGGAAAAATTACTAAAATATCATACTCCAGTAAAAGTACAAATACTTGGATGAAATATTACTCAAGTACAAGTAAAATTACCCAACAGAAAAATTACTCAAGTAAAAGTAACAAGTAGCTAATTTAAAATGTATTTTAAGTAAAAGTTACTTAGTTACATTAAAAAAAAACTATTGAACGGGGCAGGGGATCTCTCCCATGTAGTTAAAATAGGACAAGGAGTCATAAATCCAAAACTATTTAGTTTTTAATTAAAGAAAAATCTATACAAATGTGAACACATGTAATGACAAGATAACACATGTCACACATGACATTTAAGACCCTTAGAAAGGTATAATGTGCAATTTTAGTTCAGATCATCCCATAAAACTTTTTCAAACAATCAATTGAAGGTAAAAGTGCCATAAATTGTTGGTTCTGAGGGCCGTCTTTCTTTTCTTCAAACATTAACAACAGTTATTAAGTTATGAAGTGGAGAGGTTCCTGTAATGCAACTGATTTCAAATAAAGTGGTGAATTACACTATGTGTAGAAAACATCGAAGACAGAACATGCAGTAAGTCTACTGTTTTGTACTTACCAGCTTTAAGTAAAGATGTAAGATCTCCCAACTTGTCAAAGCTGTCGCGAAATGGCGTCTGCCCTTTAGCAGCCTGACCCCTGATAGAAAAAACAAGAGTAACCTACATTAGAATGTTTTAACAGCTAGTTATTCTAACCGTAATAAGTAACGTGCAATAACTAACGTACAATAATGTGAAACTCATGTGAATTCAATCTCTGGATTATATGTATAACTGTGTAACTGTTACAATTACTGTAATAACTGTTTTGCAGTAATTATGTGCAATAATATATTGTCAACATAAAGGTCAATCATTCTTGCTGCTACCTGATCATACTTCGCTGCTTTACAACTGTAACCATTATAGCAATTACTGCAACCATGCTCCATAGCTGCAACAATAACTGTAATAACGTATGTGCAACAAGCTATTATACAAGGTGCTATAACCTCTGCAATAAGCCTGTGCAATAATCATGTATAAAGTGTATAATAACATATGTGCAATAACCTATTTATACAAGGTGCTATAACCTCTGCAATAAGCCTGTGCAATAATAGTGTATAAAGTGTATAACATATGTGCAATAACCTATTTATACAAGGTGCTATAACCTCTACAATAATCCTGAGCAATAATCCTGTAGGGAGCTGGAGAAGTACCACCTTCCTCCAGCAGAGTCCGCCGTGGATCCTCCTGAGTCGAGCCTCCTGCACAGCTGGAGCTCTTTCCATCATTAGAGGATCCACAGTACTTAAGCTGTCTTCAGACCTTGCCTCAACGCCGCAGTGTTGATCCAGTTGGTTAGCACCTAAGCCTAGTACCTCTGAGAACCTTTGTTGACTTTTGAATCCAGACTGGATTCTAACTTTTGTCTCTGTCTTCCAGGAAACCTGTTTTTCTCCTGTGAAGCTCAGGAAGAGCTTAACCTGCCGAGCCTGCCCTCTGAGCCAAACCTGAAGCCACTCTCTGGACTTCCATGCAGCTCTGGACCAAGAGCTGGAATCTCAAAGCCAAGGTCTGCTCACTCTCAAGAAGTAAGACGCTGAAGCAGCTTACGGACTCTGCTGAACAAACCACCTCCGGACCCAACAGTTTCCCTCTCAAGGTTTTTACCAAGAACCCTCAAGGTACAAATCTGAAACTGTCAAGAATCAAACTCCTCTGCGCAACGCTAACTGAACTGTCTCTCACGCAGACTCCAGTGAACCAGTTCCCCAGGCCTGAACCAGAACCTGTCATTCTCATTGTGCTTGTGACAATAAACTCTGTTAAACCTTTTACTTCAGTTTCCGTCTCCGTGGTGTTCTGCATTATTGGTCACACCAGTGAACCTATCATGACAAATCCTGTATAAAGTGTATAATAACGTATGTGCTATAACCTATTTATCCATAGGATTGTATAGATTTGTATATAGCTGTATAACTGTATTTAACTCCTTCTTCTGACTTTTGACTATTAAGCCGATGGGACAAGTTAATTTCTCCATTGTGAGATCAATAAAGATTATCTTTTCTTATTTCGCTACAATCACACTAACATTAAGATTGTCCCAAGTCTGAATTAGCGAACGTACAACGTTACCTACTATGTTTACAACATGGGATTAATATCACAACATTGTAAGTTATTTACTAAATCAGACAGTCAGATGATCTGTTACCATTTGTAAGTTAGATGAACTTCGTCCACGACGATACCCATAACGTTGGCTTGAAAAACATCGGAGCCTAGCATGTCCCTCCACTTGTTGTTCAGCAGCCAGGATTCCGGGCTTCCGAAAAGGAGCTGGCAACGACCGCTGGCTATATCCACCTCGTCGTTCACGCCGAGTTGCATCGCCGTGATGCCCATTTCAGTTGCTTCTTTCACTTGGTCCTCCATGAGTGCGACCAAAGGAGAAACAACAATGACCAATGGGTTTTCATTGTTTCCCAGCTTCTTAGCGACCAAGGGAGCCAGCTGATAAATTAAACTGTTGCCGAATCCCGTAGGAAGGACGCCAAAAACATCTTTCTTTTCAACAAATGCCTTGATCGCGTTTCTCTGTTCCTCTTTTAAAATTAATTTGCTGTCGATATCTTCTAGAACAGACCTAATAGCAGAATCTACACACATGAACTCTCCAGCGGCAGCCATTGTTGTTGTCTGATTGTTCCTTATGTTCCTAACAGAGCACTTCGCTCTCAATCTGCAGGTTTACTAATGGTTCCTAGAATTTCTAAAAGTAGAATGGGAGGCAGATCTTTTAGTTATCAGGCTCCTCTCCTGTGGAACCAACTACCAGTTTTAGTCCATGAGGCAGACACCCTGTTTACTTTTAAGGCTAGGCTTAAAACTTTCCTTTTTGATAAAGCTTATAGTTAGAGTGGCTCAGGTTATCCTGAGCTATCTCTATAGTTATGCTGCTATAGGCTTAGACTTTTGGAGGACATAGGGACCCCCATTTCATCATTCTGCTTCATTCTCTCTCTGTTCTCCTATTCTGCAGAATCTGTTAGTTCAATCTCTAACCTTCTGCTCTCTCTGCTTTTCCTCAGAGTAGCTTTGCCTCGTCTGTTCCTGTTTGGCTGTGACGTCATCCTGGAAAGAAACATCAGCTGTGCTGCTTCCGTCAACACCCTTGTTTATAGATGTTGGAGATCGGCCTGATTCCAGTGTGGTCCTGTTTCTCTGACCGTGACTGAGTGGATGTGCTCTCTTCGTCCTCTGGCATGGGAGCTGGCTCGGAGCTCGTCTGCCTGGCTGTGTGTTTCCTGGACGGGGCCGCCTTTTACAGCTGCTTTTTGTGTCTCTGCTTCCGTCTCCTTGAACCCCAGTCGGCCTCGGCAGATGGCCGCTCACACTGAGCCTGGTTCTGCTGGAGGTTTCTTCCTGTTAAAAGGGAGTTTTTCCTCTCCACTGTCGCTACAAGCATGCTTAGTGTGAGGGATTGTATTTGAGTCAATGAGTCAATGCAATCAACTGGTTTTCCTTAGACAGAAAACTTTGTATCAATTTGACTGTATGATCTGGTTGAACTGTAAAGTGCCTTGAGATGACGTGTTGTGAATTTGGCGCTATATAAATAAACTGAATTGAATTGAAAATTGTCGCCCAAGCGCGCTTTGGTGACATGGTTGATTACGTTACTGTTGATCATCTGTCCAATATCGTATAAAGCCCTCCCTGACAATTTGATTGGATCGCCAGAGAGTGGGCGATCATACTCGCGCTACTATGGAGCAGAGCCAGACCGAACTTCCCGACCTCAAACCTTGTGGGCGGGACTAAGTTCGGAATGGCACCCAGGCTACATATAAGGAGCAGCTGGACGACCATTCACCCCCTGATGGTCTGACTCAGTTGGCTCCGCTGTTACTCCGTCTGCCTGCCTGCTCTCCACCGTTTGGTCTCTAGCCTACTTTCCAATCCACAAGCCCCCTCCGAGATCGGCTCCTCTTCTGGAACAAAGTAGCTGATCTGTCTGAACCAAGCTCGGATACTGTTTTCTGTTAAATAAATAAGATAAATCGATCAGTTTTGTCCTGCTGGTGGTTTTCTGCATGTCGGTCAGAAGAATCCCATCGATCATGACAGAACCATCAGGCCAGTTTGACCCAGCAGAACCACGAGCGGGCTCCCCCTCCGAGCAAACCTACACAACACGAGGAGATGTTCCGCTCGTTATTGGAACAACAAGGGTTTGCCTCCATTACCCCACCTCTCCTGCTGGTGTAACATAGTTAAAATGGTTCAGGTTAAATCCTGCTAAAATGCACCATCTGCTGGTTTAATGGAGTATAACATTCACCCTAGAAAGAGCAGGGTATTATGGGTAATCCTCAGAGCCATAAGGATCACTGTTGAGGTAACGTGTCTCTGCAATGTTATAAAGAAATATTATATATAAAATATGTTTATGGTTTTCGTTTTTGCATATTATTGAAATATGTTTTATGTAGGTCACACTGTTTTGCTATTATATTGTTTTTGTTGCGTTTTTAGAAATGTTTAGCTCGTGAGAATGTGTGGTGGGGATTTCCCACGTTAACATTGTGACTCCTCCTTGCAGGAGCATGTTTATGCTAGAGACTGACTTTACCTCGATGCCCATGTGTGAAATACAGGTATGTTTTACTAAATCTTGTAGCAGATGGTTAATATAAGGCCGAGTTTTATTTGAACAGTTTTATATGAAGATATGGTTCATTTATGTTTTTGTATTATTTCAAGATACAAGTTTATATAAACTAAAATATAAAAATGGCATGCAGTAAATAAAATGTCAGCATTTTATTTTATTTTTCAGAGCATTTTAGTTAATTGCTTTACTTTCTTTAAAAAATGATACTCGCTGGTTGTTCCTTTAGTGTAAACTAAATCCACTATGCGATCACTGTAATTTTCAATGATTTTATTTTGATTACTGTATTATGGGTGATCCTCAGAGCCATAAGGATCACTGTTGAGGAGCATGTTTATGCTAGAGACTGACTTTACCTCGATGCCCATGTGTGAAATACAGATGGTGAATTAAAAAGAACTACTGATGCCAGCTTGAGCTCCTGTCATCCATTGCCACCCTAAGAGAAGCCACCAGAACCACATAGGTCACATTGGTGCCGTGACTCGCCCTGAACTACATCGGACCGGGCTAGTGACTTCTGATCTTCACGTCGCTGGAGCTCCACTGTTCCATCTGGGTTTTCAACAGTAGTCTAAGTACCACATCTGAATGTGTTTATAAATCCTTGTGAAAGGATATTTCTTTTGACTGCTTTTGGACTTTTGTCAAAATGAGTTTCAGTAATTTTGGACAATCAAACATGACTCCACTCTGTAGGGGCAGAGGTAGAGGGTTCTTTACCACCCCTGTTCCATTTTCAATGGGTGACGAAGTATTGAGTGGGGCACTACTTGATGTAAATACTGTAAATAACTCGGTTGTGACTGCGGAAGCTGTTACACCCAGCAGTCAGACTTGTCCTAATATTCAACCTCGTCAGTGTTCTAGCACATCTATCCCAGATTCTCATGTTGATAATACTGGGCTAGCTGATCAGATGAGCACTATTGTCCAACAAATAGGGCAACAGCTGGCTGATAGTGTTATGGAACACCTGAACTCGAGCACCCCAAGTGGAACTTCGATAAAAAAGTCTCAAAATGAGAGTCCTCAAGTTCCATGCAGCTTGTTAGATTTTTCTCAGGTCCAGCTCGTCTCCAGAAGCCAGGTGAGAGAACCACCTATTTTTAAAGGGGAAAGTTCTGATACAGTTACAGTTGATGAGTGGGAGGACTCAATGAAAAGTTACATCAAAAAGAGTGGTGTACAGCAAGAACATCAAGCTGAGGAGATCCTGATCCATCTTAGAGGCAGAGCAAGGGATGTTGTGAGGTGTGGAATACGCAACTGTGGGATTGATGTTGAGCGCAATCCACAGGCCATTTATTCACTTCTGCGCAAACATTTTGGGTCTGATCAGTGCTCACCCGTACCATTTGCTGATTTTTACTCCACCCGGCCAAAAGAGAACGAGGATCCATTCGAATATTGGCTAAGATTGAATGGAGCAGCTGATGTTGCTGTTAGCCGTCTTCAAGAACAGGGTAAGACCTTTGACAATCCAAGTGTTGAAGTTACTCGCATGTTCATCAGGAACTGCCCATGTAAAGATTTAGCTGTTACCTTCAGATCTAAGACCATAGACAAATGGTCAGCACAAGATGTTCAGGAGGTGTTGGATGAGTATCATATGGAAAGGGGACTGCGGTCTGCTCAGAAAGAAAGCAGAATCAGTGTGAACCGAGCAGAGGTGGACTGCACAGCGCCCACATCTGTTCAGAAGCAGGAACTGCAACAACAGGTAGCCCCAGACAATTCCACCATGGACAAGCTGATTAGCATGTTGGAGAAAGTTCTACTTCAAGCCCAGTGCAACTCCCAGTCCAGCAGACGGCAACCTGTTAAAAACCGTTTGCCGAATATTAAAGGACTGAACGACATACCATGTTCTGTGTGTAATGATAGTTCTCACACTGCACGAACACACTGCCGGCAGAATAATCTGTGCTTCTTCTGTCATCTTCCTGGCCATTCGAGCCGAAGCTGCCATCAGAGAGAGCAGCTGCCCTCCCAAAACCAGCAGGAAAACTGAACGATCTGCGTGGAGGGGAGGACAGCGCAGATCGTCTTAGTGACACTCCCACATCGGATTCTTCTGATGATGACTGTGAGACACTGTACATTAATTACAGCAGCAAAATTCCACCACAAAAGACATTGATAGTGCAAGCCCCTCAGAGACTTTCAAAGACTGACAGCTTGTTTTACACAGTTGTGACTGTTGGAGGAAGGTATTTTCTCAAAGCTTTGGTTGATAGTGGATCAATGGCATGCACCATAAGTGAGGAGGCTGAAGCAAAACTTTCAAGTTGTCTCACAGACCTGGATAAGAAACCAGCTGCTGATTTTGTCATTGTTGGATGTGGAGGTCATGTCGTCACACCTTCTGCATTGTATGAACTTACTCTAACAGTGTTTGACTTTAATGTCATAATCCCTGTTTTAGTAGTTCCAGGCCAATCAGATGAAATGATATTGGGCAGTAATGCTATCAGATGGCTGATTTCGCAAATGAAAACCTCTTTGGATGAGACAACAAATTGCTCCTCTCAGAGAGGCAATCACAAAGACAATTTGCCCTGTTTAATGTCTCTGCTGTCAGGCTCGATATCCTGTGACCCAGGCATGAAACCCATCAAAGTGGGCACAGCCAAACTCAAAAGGTCTGTTACCCTCCAGCCCCTCACTGAACATTTAGTTTGGGCCAAACTGCCTACATCTGATGTTTCTTTAGTTGGATGTTCAGTCCTCATTGAACCAACTCAGTCCAAGTGCAGACCCAGACAAATTCTAGTGGGGAGAGTTGTTTGGTTGTTAAGCCTAATGGAGATCTCCGCATCTGCAATGATTTCAGATGGCTGAATGCGCGAACCGTTAAATATGCGCATCCATTGCCTCATCAAACAGATGCCCTTGCTGCACTTGGTGGGAATGTATTCTTTTCCACCATGGACCTGACTTCAGGGTTCTATAATGTGAGGCTACACGAGGATGACAAAAGGTTTACTGCCTTTTCTTCTCCATTTGGCCTGCATGAGTACAATAGGATGCCTCAAGGCTTGACCAATAGCCCTGCAACTTTCATGCGGATGATGATGTCTATTTTTGGGGACCAAAATTTCACTAGTTTGCTATGTTATTTGGATGACCTGATGGTCTTTGCCCCATCAGAACAGGTTGCGCTTGATCGGCTCCAGATGGTTTTCTCTCGTCTGGCTGCAAATAACTTGAAACTGTCTCCAAAAAAACTCACTTCCTTCGTAGGTCAGTGAAATTTTTGGGTCATGTCATAAGTGAGGACGGTGTAAGCACTGATCCTAGTAAAGTTCAGGCTATCAGTGAGGTACAGGAAACTGATCTCATGGAGCCTGATGGTGAGACACCATGTGCCAGAAAAATTAGATCATTTCTTGGGATGGTTCTTTATTATCATCACTTTATTGGGAAGTGCTCTGTCAAAGCCAAACCGCTCTTTAGCCTTGTAGCTGAGCCTGGTGCGACAAACAAAAAAGGTTGAGGCAACAAACCCAAATTCAAAAAGGGTCAGGTTAAACTGTCCCCATCTGACTGGACTGACGAGTGCAAGGAAGCATTTAAAACTTTGAAAAATTATTTGATAAGTAGTGTTACCTTGGCTCATCCGGATTTTAATGCTCCATTCATCCTTGCGGTTGATGCCTCTTTTGATGGCATTGGAGCTGTTTTGTCACAGCTTCCTCCTGATGGAAGTGTGGCTAGACCAGTGGATTTTGCCAGTAGGACTCTCTCACGCTCGCAGCTAAACTATCCAGCACATCGCTTGGAATTTATTGCTCTTAAATGGGCAATATGCGACAAGTTTAGCCACTGGCTAAAAGGGCGTAATTTCACAGTCTGGACGGACAACAACCCGTTAACATACATACTAACCAAGCCAAGGTTAGATGCATGTGAACAACGATGGGTTTCCACGCTCACTGCCTATAGTTTTGATCTGAACTATGTTCCTGGCAGCAGAAATGTTGTCGCTGATGCCTTGAGTAGAGAACCTTTTGTTCAGTCGTGCATGAGCCATCGCATTGTAACTGAACCCTATGCCGCACTACTTAATCAGGTGAATGGTATGTTGGACAGAACGGTCCAAGATGCATTTCATTGTACGAACAACTGTCAGCTGGTTGTTGAGTGCACAGATGACAATGCTGAGGTGTCCTCACCGACTCCCCAGACTTTAACATCACAAGATGTGTCAGCTGTTTTTGAGGCACATGAGTCTGGAGGTTTCAGTCAGATGAGAGCCACTGATCCAGGTGTCTTGCAACTCAGTGACATTGATCAATCTGCCTTGATGCCAAAGAGTGAACTTGCTAATTTGCAAGGTCAGGATGGTGTGTTGGGCAGATTTTTCTATTATATGCAACGTCACAGGAGACCCACCAGACGTGAACGTGCAAGTGAGTCACCTGGTGTTTTAAATCTGCTGAGACATTGGCCTAAGCTTGTCATTAAAGATGGCCTGTTATACAGAGTTAAGAAGGACAAAAAAATGAACATGACAACTCAACAGTTTATTGTCCCTGACACTTTAAAAGCCAAAGTCCTCCAAGGGGTGCATGATTCAGCTGGTCATCAGGGCCAAGCCCGCACACTCTCTCTCGCCAGACAGAGATTTTTTTGGATTGGGATGGAACGTGACATCATTAACCATGTGAAGTGCTGTTTTCGATGTGTAGTTGGTAAAACTCCAGAACCTAATGACAGAGCTCCCCTTGAAAGTATTCACACCTCTGAGCCAATGGAACTGGTCTGTATTGACTTTTGGACGGCTGAACTCTCAGATAAACGCTCGGTGGATGTCTTAGTTGTAACAGACCACTTTTCCAAGATGGCACATGCGTTTCAATGCAAAAATCAGTCAGCCAAACAAGTCGCTCGTCGTCTGTGGGATGACTTCTTTTGCATATATGGCTTTCCTAAACGCATTCATTCAGACCAAGGAGCTCATTTTGAAAGTCTTCTCATCAAAGAACTGCTGGACATGGCTGGCATACAAAAGTCTCACACCACACCGTACCACCCGATGGGGAATGGCATTGTTGAACATTACAATAGAACCTTAGGTAACATGATCAGAGCACTCCCTCCCCAGTCTAAGGCTAGATGGCCTCAGATGCTCAGAATGCTAATGTTCTGCTACAATCGCACTGAGCATGAAACAACTGGATTTGCTCCGTTTTTCCTTATGTTCGGCAGGGTCCCGCGCCTGCCCATTGACGTGGTTTTCCAGCATGCTCTGTCAAATGGCCCAGTTGTAGACCATCATGAGTTTGTCTCTCGCCTCAAACATGACCTCTCTGTGGCTGCCCGCATTGCTCAACAAAACAGTTCATCGGGACAAGCCCAACAAGCGATGTACTACAACCGCAAAGCTAAAGGTTCTCCTCTCGTTGTGGGTGACAGAGTTTTGGTTGCTAATCGTGGTGAGCGAGGGAAGAGGAAAATTGCAGACAAATGGGAATCAACAGTATATGAAGTGGTGTCTGTGAAGCCTGATATAAATGTGTGTTGCATCAGATATCCTGTCACATCAAAGACAAAGGTTCTTCACAGAAGTCAACTTTCTCACTGCTGCTGCCATTCCTGATGATGCAGACCATTCCCCTTGCCCTTCCACAGCAGGAAGTGACCCCGTTGTGCGTGATGAAGTACAGGACAATGAAACTAAGACTGTGGACTGGCTTTTGCAGATGGAGGACAATAGTTGTATGGATGAAGTTGTAAATCAACCTGACTGTGCTTCTGACATTCCAGTGCGAGGTTCTTCAGTGGACATTGTGTTTCCTGCCTCAAGTGTTGAGACCAATGATTTACCTGAACCTGATCTCCCTGAATCTGTTGCACTGTCAAACCCTCCTGAAACGGGTTCCAACCATACAACTCCAGCTGTCCAATCTGACCTCATTCAGCATGATCTTCCAGTTGAACATAGTTCTGACATGAAACTGGACTTGCCTGTAACTGATGTTATTTGCACTCAGCCATCTAGGCTATGCACTAGATCGGGTAGGCCTGTTAAGCCTCCAGCCAGACTTATATGTGAAATGAATGAACAGGTTGTGGATGATTCAATGTCGACTGTGCACTCTCTCTTTTCCTTTGTGAAGACCATGTTTGCAGGGTAGATTTGTATTGTTTCAAAGTTTATTTCTGGGTTGTTTTTTTTTTTTTTTGCTCAGTGACTGCTTTGTAGAGCAATGGTTGTTTATCAAAAGGTGTAAATGGCATCTTTTGGGTCTGTGTTGGTAGGAGTATTGGCCACACTTTTGCTAACATTATTCCTTAGGGGAAGTTTTGAACTGATGTGACTACTATGTGCTCTTTATTTTTATTTTTTTTATTGCACTTTTGTGTTAGTGCTGTGTGTATTTGATACAACCCGATTTTAGCAGAATTTACGGGGGGTGTATGTAACATAGTTAATATGGTTCAGGTTAAATCCTGCTAAAATGCACCATCTGCTGGTTTAATGGAGTATAACATTCACCCTAGAAAGAGCAGGGTATTATGGGTAATCCTCAGAGCCATAAGGATCACTGTTGAGGTAACGTGTCTCTGCAATGTTATAAAGAAATATTATATATAAAATATGTTTATGGTTTTCGTTTTTGCATATTATTGAAATATGTTTTATGTAGGTCACACTGTTTTGCTATTATATTGTTTTTGTTGCGTTTTAGAAATGTTTAGCTCGTGAGAAAGTGTGGTGGGGATTTCCCACGTTAACATTGTGATTCCTCCTTGCAGGAGCATGTTTATGCTAGAGACTGACTTTACCTCGATGCCCATGTGTGAAATACAGGTATGTTTTACTAAATCTTGTAGCAGATGGTTAATATAAGGCCGAGTTTTATTTGAACAGTTTTATATGAAGATATGGTTCATTTATGTTTTTGGATTATTTCAAGATACAAGTTTATATAAACTAAAATATAAAAATGGCATGCAGTAAATAAAATGTCAGCATTTTATTTTATTTTTCAGAGCATTTTAGTTAATTGCTTTACTTTCTTTAAAAAATGATACTCGCTGGTTGTTCCTTTAGTGTAAACTAAATCCACTATGCGATCACTGTAATTTTCAATGATTTTATTTTGATTACTGTATTATGGGTGATCCTCAGAGCCATAAGGATCACTGTTGAGGAGCATGTTTATGCTAGAGACTGACTTTACCTCGATGCCCATGCGTGAAATACAGATGGTGAATTAAAGAGAACTACTGATGCCAGCTTGAGCTCCTGTCATCCATTGCCACCCTAAGAGAAGCCACCAGAACCACATAGGTCACACTGGCGCGGCAGCCGCATCGCTCCCATTGCCACCCCCAAGTGGTACAGCCAGGTGAACAATCCCCCCCTTTAACGACCGACCTTCAGAATCATAGACAGGTTTCAGATATTAAAGGCTAACAATGGGACCAAACGACCCGCTTGTCAGTTTCAGTTTGCATGTTTAAGCCTCAACCTCACTGCGAATCCAGACATTTTGAATTGAGAAAGCTTCCTGGAGGGAAAGCAAAACATCTTCAAACCTTGGAAACCAAGTCTAGTGGATTGTTTTTTAAACTTTTATGAAATGACTATGACCTGGATGACTGAGAATCTTCACCAGCATATTAAATATGGAACTTAATTGTGACTCGAATCCCGTCCCTAACTCCCCATCTCTGATACAGAAACTGAAAATAAGACTCCCACAGGCCTCATAACGTTCACAGATGAGTGAGACACAGCTAATGCTCACAACGCCGGGAACAGATTTGGACTCGGAAGGAGTCCACTGACAGGAGCTGTTGTTCCTTCTTTGAGGTCAGAGATGTCCTGCCTGATATCAACAGGCTGAACACAAGAATGATATATAGAAATCCTGTTTACTTTATTACTAGATACAGAAGAATACATTTGTTTATTGATCATTTGTTTAGTTATTTGCTTAGTTTTTGTTTAGACACAATCTTGGCAACAAACTTCTTAAGTATGTTAAAACCATGACATTTATGACAAGTAAACGTTATGAAGAATTACAAGATTTTTTAAATATGTGTATCTAAAGCTTTAAAAAAAGAACAAAACATTGAAATTGGCTGCATGATCTGCATGATGCCAGTTCACCACTAGAGGTCAGCACACTCAAGTTTAAAACCTTTAATATTTTAAAGCTCTGCTCAGATCCTAAATTTTTGTCCTTTATTATAATTAGATTATTGTGCACTATTTTGCTTGTATCTTTATTTTTCTTTTTAATCAAAAGACTGACAATGTTTATTTAGAGGATTTTCTAATAAAGCTTTGACCAAATGTTGTGACTGGGTGGATGTGCTTGTCGTCTATAATTCTCTTCTTGACGACTTAAAATTGAAGCTATGTTTTATAAAAATTCAAAGTTCTTAAAAAGCAGAAAAAGTCTCAAACAAAGATCAAAAAATTTAGGCAGAGGCAGCTGAGTCCAGGTCCAGTGTGTTTATTGCTAAACACAACACATTCACACTGAGCTGGTCACCGGTGAGCCGAAGCTGAACAAATGGTGAAGACAGCTCCCTTTTATACATTTCTTATCGGTGGAAAACCCCCTTCAGAACATATTTCAGTCTTTGGTAAAAGTCACATTGATATTTATCTGCAAATCACGGTGACATTCATAGACACATCTCATTCTTGTGAGAGCAATCTCTCAGGCCATGAAAACATCTGGTGCATTCAAATCAGAAACTTATGACAGTTTAATCACAAACATGTTAGAACACATCCTTTCCTTGCTTCAAGCCATGTCAGTCTGGCCTACTGCTCCCCCCTCGTATCTTAGTCAAAGCATCACCCTTTCTGGGACCATTACCGCTCCGTGTGCCTTGAAAATAACAACTCTATTTATCACAAGTTGTATGGCCAAATTTTGCTGAGCTGGGCAACCTTGAGATGTCAAATATTTCATTTTTAATGAGTGGGCTTTCTTATCACTATGGGGCCTCAACCCTGCGTTTTCCTGCAGATTACACTCCTCTTGGGGCCAGGTGCAACAGTTACACATACTCACTGCTCTGTATTTCTCCTTTTTGGCCTTGAATGGCTCCATTCATTGCTCTGTTTTTCTCCTTTTTGGCCTTGAATGGCTCTTATAACAGTATTTGTGAAAACAACTTTAAACTTATAAAACATTAACTTTATTTTATTTTATGATTAGTGCAGATTAATACACAACATGCTCTCTTCGTCCTCTGGCATGGAAGCTGGCTCGGAGCTCGTCTGCCTGGCTGTGTGTTTCCTGGACGGGGCCGCCTTTTACAGCTGCTTTTTATGTCTCTGCTTCCGTCTCCTTGAACCCCAGTCGGCCTCGGCAGATGGCCGCTCACACTGAGCCTGGTTCTGCTGGAGGTTTCTTCCTGTTAAAAGGGAGTTTTTCCTCTCCACTGTCGCTACAAGCATGCTTAGTGTGAGGGATTGTATTTGAGTCAATGAATCGATACAATCAACTGGTTTTCCTTAGAGAACTTTGTATCAATTTGACTGTATGATCTGGTGAACTAGAAAGAGCCTTGAGATGACATGTGTTGTGAATTTGGCGCTATATAAATAAACTGAATTGAATTTGTTCAAACGTTCGATTTTATGGATCTATTGAAAAGTTTCCAAATCTAAGAATGGATTCTTGAATTCTTCCTCTTCTTTGAACTTCACAGATAAACTTTCTTTCTTTAACATTAATACCGTATTTTCACGACTATAAGGCGCACTTAAACATCTTTTTTTCCCCTAAAAATGTGCGGTGCGCCCTTTGGTGCGGTGCGCCCTATGTGTGTTGTAACTGCGACTTTTGAGACCACCTCATTGAGGAGATGATGAAAGAGTGGCTGAATGTAAGGAGACCAGGTGTTTTTTTCCCACTCATCACCATCGCTGTTAATATGTGACTCCATGCGTGCCCATCTCACAGCTGATGTGAAAAACATGGGGAAACAAATTAACGCTGTGCTCGCTGTTCAACCGCTCAACATCGGTGTGAACCGGACCCAGCAGGTGCAGCAGAAGCAGCGAGTTTACATGCAAAGTCAATGGTTGACGCGCGTATAGGTGCAGCAAAAGGTCCCGCAGCGCGTTTTGAGCAGCAGGCGCTGCGTCGGGAGCGTTTAAGCATCTGAAGCACCGCCAATGCGCTGCTGCTGCTCCAGATGGAAAAATTGAAGTTTTGCTGCTGGAAGCGCCGCATCAACCAATCAGAGAAGCTGATCTGGGAGCTGACAGCGAGACAGACAGCGCTCTGATGACACATGATATTAGCGCAAATGAAAAAGGCTGGATGGATGAGGAGATGATGAAAGCGTGGCTGAGGCAGGTGTATGTGAGGAGAACAGGTGTTTTTTTTCCACGCATCACCATCACAGTTAATCTGTGACTCCATGCGTGCCCATCTCACAGCTGATGAGAAAAACATGGTGAATCAAATGGATGCTGTGCTCGACGTTATCCCGGGAGGTCTGACAAAGGAACTTCAACCGCTCGACATCGGTGTGAAGCGGCCGTTCAAAGTAAGGCTGCGAGCGGCATGGGAGCGATGGATGACCGACAGAGACCACAGTTTCAGTATAAGTGGAAGGCAGCGCCGGGCAAGTTATGCCACAGTTTGCGGATGGATTGCAGATGCTTGGACTAACGTGTCTGCTGGCTCTGTTGTTCAAGCTTTCGCAAAAGCAGGCATTATTTCTGAGGAGCCGCCCGGCACGGAAAGTGACTCTGACAGCAAAGAAGGGGAAATTGGGCTGTCTGATTTAGTGCAGCTGTTTTATTCAGAAACAGAGGATGATGACTTTGATGGGTTTGATTAATACTTTGTAATAAATACATTAATAAAGCACAATCATACTCAGTTTTGCTCCCGCTCTATTTTTCTACCTGAAAACTTAATTCAACAGCAGCCTCTGGGCGGGTCTCCTCCTCTTCACCGCGGCTGGCAGGTGTTTTTCATCTAAATAATCTAAATCTTGCAGCTATATTTGCTGTGATCAGTGGGAATAAAGTAGTTTTAATATGTTTTTAAGTGAGAAAGTCCACCTGACAAATTCATAATTGCAGTCAGTTCATCCAGATTATCTATTTCTGTCGGAGGTGCTCAGACCCCCACATACCAGCGGTACACCGACAGCAGAAATCCCTTCATCAGCAGCCTCTAGGCTGGGCAGCCTCCAGGTTCACCGCGGCTGCTGGCAGGTGTTTTTCATCTAAATAATTTTAGCTGCAGGCACCAGGATACCGGTAATAAAAGCGAACAAATTCCATCGGTAGGTTTCAGGATTTTAAGTTAATTTAGGAGTGATCACAGCGCACTGTCATCTGCGATGTGTCTGTCTCACGGTCAGCTCCCAGGTTTGATTAATAGTTTGTAATAAATACATGAATAAAGCACAGTCATACTCAGTTTTGCCCCCGCTGTATTTTTAAATACGCAGTAGAGGTATTTAAAGTTAGTAGAGGACATGTACCTGTATATAAAAAACGCGCCCTATAGTCTGGTGCGCCTTATGTGTGTGTTAAATACAGAAATGGGACACATAACTGAGAGTGCGCCTTTTAGTACGGTGCGCCTTATGGTCGTGAAAATACGGTACTTAATAACATTAATAATTGACGTCTAACTTTAGTCCAACTGTTTCTGTTCCTACAGGAAAGCCAGGAACCCTGTCCACCAGTCCTCTCACCTTACTGGTGCTTCTGGATGCAGACAGATTTCCAGTTAAAGTGAATAAAGCTGCTGGATTTCCTCTCAATCAGTGGAAATATTCATTCTCAGTTTCTGTGTTTGGCTGAAGGTTCATGTCTGGAACAGCCTGGAAACATCCTGGTTCTGACCCAGAAAATGAAAACTGGGCGTCTCTGGACAGGTTAGCAGAAAACTGTTGGACCCACAGAGAAACCAGCTTCTGGATCAAACCATCTTCAAACCGGGTCGGTTATCAGAATCAGTGTTCTGTTCTTCAGTGGATCTTTCCAAATGGTCCAAAGGTAAATGTCCTGTACTGGAACAGTATTTTCTGAAGTCAGGAGACTCTACAGCTTTACTCTACCTTCACTCCTTCACCTAATGATGCAGGGGAGCTACATGGTAGCCATAGCTGCCCTGGGGTCCGCTGACAGCAGCCATACAGTCGGGGCCAGCGGGCCCTCAGACCATCAGATGACAGAAGGAAGAAGATTCAGTTTATGAGTAAAGATCCAACATGATGGGTCTGTCTGTGGAAACTCCACCCACACGGAGAACAGGGCATCTCCACACAGAAGACACTCGTGGGATTTGAACCTAGGACCTTTTTCTGGTCAGGATCAAAGCTAACATCTGAGACTTCCTCATCCCTCCTCTTCATCACAGAGGGAGAACCTCGTCTGATGAAGGTTGTTTCAGGGTTCATCAGAACCAACGAGGCTCAGAGTGTTCTCCAGCAGTCTGAAGGATCAACACCACAGAGAGGAGGAGGAGTTCTACCAGACCGGTTCTGGTCCCACCCAGAGCCCATGCGCGCTCACGATTCTACGGAAGCCGGCAGACCAAACCAGCGCATTCAGCTCGGCAAAGAACTCATGCTCTTCCTCAACACTGAAGTCCTCATACATTTTTCTTTCGTTGTTTCTTTCTTTGCACAGGTAAACAGCACATTTCTTCTTCTACGCTTGCATTATCGGCAGAGCAGACGCTGAATGCGCACTTTCTTCCGGTTTGGTCTGCCGGCTTCCGTAGAATCGTGAGCGCGCATGGGGGCGCTAATAGGAAATCCTATACACTACTGTTTAGGCTCTAAAACGTTCTAAATGACTTCGTTTCGAGTAAATTCTGGATGTTACCCACTCAGGACACTTGGATTACATTGGACGAGCAGTATGGAGGAATATTGACACGTTTTTGTGGACTTTTATGGACCTTTCTGTCTCGGTCACCATAGACCTCCATTATTTGAATGTCAGCAGACAGCAAGAAGCCTCCCAGATCTCCAGATGCATTTGAGATATCAAAAAAGTACTCCAGAGTTTTGTTCAGCATGGGGGTGAGTAGAAAATGAAGGCTAATCATGTTTTGGGTGTACTATTCCTTTAAACATGCTTGCCAGGAGCCAGTCTCTTCCTTTGTCTGTCAAAACTGCCACACATGGGTGTGCAGGTGTTTTAATCATAGGAAGGCCCAACCCCCAACACAAGTTCACTCCTCTTTTCTCCTGTGCTTCTTTTTTGACATGACAAGCGTTAAATATGCTAATGCTGTTGCCGCCGATAGTAGGGCCACCTGCAGTAGGTTAACGAAGTGTCCAATGTTTTCCTGGTATCAATGGGCCCAGAAGAGCCGCTTTAAGGTCCAGTTTAGTTTAACTCATTCAGCACAGGATCAGAAAACCAGATGTTTTCATTCTGCAGGTCAGACCCTTTTGCAGTGCTTCTTGTGGCACAGCAAGTGGCTGGATTGTCTGAAGGTTTTCCCACACAGTTTGCAGGAATACGGCTTCTCCCCCGTGTGCGTCCTCATGTGGTAGCTCAGCCCATCCCCTCGACTGAAGGTTTTGTGACACACTTTGCAGGTAAACGGCTTCTCTCCTGTGTGAACCCTCATGTGGATGTTCATAGCGCCCCTCCTGCTGAAGCCCTTCCCACACACGCTGCAGGGGTAGGGCTTTTCCCCGGTGTGAGTTCTGACGTGACAGGTCAGGGAGTTGCTCTGGCTGAAGGTCTTGTTGCAGATGTGGCAGGAGAAAGGCTTCTCCCCCGTGTGCCGCCTCAGGTGGCGCACCAGGTGACTGTTCAACCTGAACTTTTCCCCGCAGATCTTACAGGTAAACGGCTTCTCTCCTGTGTGAACCCTCATGTGGATGTTCATAGTGGCCCTCCTGACAAAGCCCTTCCCACACACGCTGCAGGGGTAGGGCTTTTCCCCTGTGTGAGTTCTGATGTGATAGGTCAGGGTGTTGCTCTGTCTGAAGGTCTTGTTGCAGAAGTGGCAGGAGAAGGGCTTCTCACCGGTGTGCCGCCTCAGGTGGCGCACCAGCTGACTGTTCAAGCCGAACTTTCCCCCGCAGATCTTACAGGAGAAGGGCTTCTCACCGGTGTGCGTAATCATATGGCGGAAGGCATTGTACTGAGAAGTGAAACGCCGCGTACACAGCTCACAGGAGTAAGGCTTCTCGTTCTGGTGCATGTCTCGGTGGTCTTGCAGCAGCAACAGGTTGGAGAACTTTTTGCCACAGGTCTTACAAACAAAGGGTTTGGGTTCATTTGAGTCTTCGGACTGCTTGGAGCTCACTTCTTCCTGCTCCTCTTTAATCTGCAGAAACCCTGGTTTCTTTGAATCCACACTGAGGAACCTTTCGGGCTCAGTTGGAACATCTTCCTGATAAACACGGTTCTGTTCTGTTAAGAAAAAAAACAATCAGAAAAATGTAAGTTAGTCCACGGAGCTAAACCATTAAAAAATTGACAGTGCAGAACCAACTGAGACTCCACTAACGGGTCGACTAGGAGGAGCTCCGGTCTGGTCACTCTCAATATTTCTGCATCCGTTTTTGTGCAGTGGCTAATAATTTATATGAACAGAACTGTTAGAAATATTTTATTTATACTCGGTTTGTGTTTCATGGGTTGTGTATTAATGAACTATTATGATGTATAATGTGTGATTCATCGTTTATTAACTCTTGCTAAAGATCGTTCCAGATACAGGTCATGCAACGGACGGGTTGTGAAGGAGGCCTGAACATCCTCTATCACATGTTTCTTCTAAACATGTGTTCTTGGAACAATTCAATTGTAAAACAACCACATGCTTTGTTTTAACATATGTGCTGAGGTTTAAAGTAAGATCATTTTGTTTCCCTTTCCCTTAGTTAAACCTCAGCCCCTGACTTAGACCTGCCAAGAACCATTGTAAAATATCTATTTATTATCACTATTATTATAAAATATAGTTTGTAATTATGGCTATAGCAAACAATGATTTTAGTGATCAGTGATTTTATCTTTAATTTTTATGATTTATTGAGAAACTGCTTAAAAACAGTAATACTCTAAAGAATATTCACCTATTTACCTAAACTTATTCTATGATTAATTGGAATACATAGAAAAAAAATGCAAAAACTTCAGATTATCCTTTTGTTGTCCTTTCCTTCTCAGTATATTGATGTATGCTATGTACTCTCTAAAAATGTTTTTTTCGTAGCTAGTTTGTCTCACTTGCAAGGCCACAAAATGTCTGAGTGGATTATAGACAAGACATACCTTTTTTCCATAACAAAACCACATACTTTTTTAGGTAACCGTTTAACCAAAGTGTCTGTTATTGTTTTGACTCTGCCTTAAAAGTAAGGGAACAACTTTGTCTAAAGTTAGAACTTGGCAGACCATCATGCTGTGAATGTGAATGTATTGTTCTCCTTTACTTTGCAAAGTAAATAAAGTGCCGACTGAGTAAATCGATCGATCTCCTTTATTTAACTGGACTAAACAGTTGAAAACTTTCAATACAAAACCAAAAAGAAGGATGCTGGAAAGCATGGAGCATGTCTGGTGTAGTGTATCGTGTTTGGCACTGACGATAGGCCCCGCCCTTCCACTACACCCACTTCTGCTCTCATCAACAGTTTGTTTAAATGTTTGTTATTCAGTGGGAATAAAATAGTGTTGAAAAACTAGCAATTAAATTCATTAAATTTCCTATTAAACAATCATAATAATTATGGATGAATAGGAATTAAAGTGAGAATAACAAACTAAAAAGTTGATGGTTTGACCAACAAGTTAAAGCCCGGCTCACATCGATTGTGACGACTTTTTAATCTCCAATCCCATTTATTCACACTGAAAGTATATAGAGAGGCTTCGACCAGGCAGGCTGAGCAGATCTAGATATGTGGAGTTTTTTGTTTACTTCGGTCTCTGTGCCCAAAGAACTGAAAAACTGTCCCACATTTGACTGGGAAGGATTATAAAAAACAAAACGGCGCTTCCCCTACTTCATGACTCTGTGTCTATATTAAATACACCACAGGAACTACATAAAAAGAAAAGGAAAACGCAGCAATAAAGGCTGTGGGGCGGTTTGTATGCTGGATAAGGCAGAGAGGCGATTCTCAGAGAGAGATCTGTGAAGTTTGTTCAAGTTTTTTTTCTTTTTTCATAAAGAGGATAGAGTGATGAGCTGCACTTACTTCCCGTTGTTTCTCTCAGATAGTGATAAACTGCTCTTTCTTACCCTCGATGTTTTGTTTTTGAGAGGTTCAAACTGGATCACTACTTTTTCTGTTTTCTGTCCCCCTGAACTCCTACCACCGTATTCTTTTTTAAAATGTTTCTTTGATTTTTGTGCCAGTCTGCCCCATCTGCTTTATATTCGCTATACGACTCCAATCCGGACAGTTTTCCCTGAGATTGACACATTTTAGCCCCATTTACTCTACCCTTTTGAAACCGTGCTGAAATTGGTCCGAGCACGGTAACCAAGATAACTGTTGAGTGTAAATGGTACGCAGAACTGAACCGGACCGTGGCAGACACAACCGAACCGTACTAACATGGTACTACTTCATCAGTAGGGCTCGGCTCGGTTCAGTTCTGGCTCGGTTCACAGATAAAGAGCGCATGAGGAGATCGCGTCATCTCCTTACAGTCAGCCTTCTTAATCAGGAAACTTCAGACATTCTTAAAAATCCTAGCTTCCCTACTGTGCCACACAATTTCCAGTGATGATTCTGGTTCGCAGTGTGATGAACCTTGACCGTCTGTTGTTGTTTCTTGCGTCTGTAAGCCCTGAGTAGACTATCGTTTGTCGTATCCACTTCCTAGAAGACGACTGTCAAGTAATTCACCAAAGGCTGCCTTCTTCGCCTGACTCTCCGCAATCTTCCTAAATGCTGCAGGCGCCACCATGTTGGTTTGCTTTTATTACCTCTAGAGAGAAGTAGTACCATAGATTGCCACTAGGAGGCGAGGAATCATGCTAGTGTGGTGTGTAAATGGTCAAAGGTAACTTTTAAATGGGGCTTTTATTTTGTCTCTCGTCTTGTCAGACCCATGAAATTGCTGGTGAATTGCTGCATAGTCCGACTGAAACAGACCTGGGGTCTACCTTAGTCAGAGCTACGCAGCCCTCTGCAGAGAATCGTGTCGGGTGCGATCATCTCCACTGACTCTCAATGAGAGATAAACGCCACTACTTTGTCCAATAAGATTTCCTATCAGATCGGATCATCAAGGGGGTCCAATCTGAACATGATGACTTGATATGAATGGAGTCTGATGTGCTATTGTTTGGTTGGAAAGAAAACTTGCAGCATCACGGCTCTTTCTGGAACCATTTTGACAATTGTGCTCTAGAGATTCAGAACCCAAAATAATTTTGCCGGTCGAAACTAAAAAAGAACCAACAGCTGAACCTAAATATGGACTTAACAGACCCAGTGAGGCCCTTAATAATCTGGATTAAATGGGTTCAGATTAAGGCAGAGGGCTAGTCTCTGTTCCAGACCTGTTGGGTCATTCGGACAAGTACAGTGTTTCGTACCTGGTATTTGGACATTTGCCGGGTCGTCTTCAGAACTCCCCAATGGTTCTGCGCTAGTGGACTCTCTATGATGCGGCACAAAGGTATCAAACTCCTTCCTAAGCAGTGGACTCTCATCGTCATGACGGGTCCAGAACTCCAATTTTCTGGATTTATTCTGGGGAGATTCTGGGTCTTCTGATTCCGGATCATCTTCTGATTCCAGGAGTTCTGGTTCCTCCAGGTCCTCCTTGGTATCCAGGTACTCCAACTCGCCCAAGTCGTCTATAATCTGTGGACATCCTGGTTCTGACAGGGCCTCTTCGATGTCAAAAGTTCCTAACTCGCCCAGGTCGTCTATGATCTGTGGACTGTCTGGCTCCACCAGGGTCTGGTCCATTTGCAGAGGTTCTGGTCCACATCGTTCATCTCCATTTGGAGGAGATTCTGGATCATCCAAAGCTTCTTCTCCCTGCAAAGGTTCTGGCTGCTGCTGAGCCTCTTCGGTCTGTGGAGGTTCTGGTTCTGTGAGGTTCTGTGTGAAGTCAGGGGGATACAGCTCCACTTCCTCCTCTTTGATGCGTGGAGGTTCTGGTTCTGTGAGGTTCTGTGTGAACTCAGGGGGATACAGCTCCACTTCCTCCTCTTTGATGCGTGGAGGTTCTGGTTCTGTGAGGTTCTGTGTGAAGTCAGGGGGATACAGCTCCACTTCCTCCTCTTTAATACGTGGAGGTTCTGGTTCCACCTTGTCCTGAACAAAGAGACTCCCGTAGTCGGTCAGAACCTCTTCCTTATAAACCCGTCTGGGACGAAGTCCTGAGGAGACAGAAAATATCATCATGATCATGGCGATGCAAAAGATGTTCTGAACTTCAGAACCACCAACAATGCAACACCAGGATTAGTCTGTGTTCTGATAACCGAATCTGGTTCTGACTGATGGGTTCATACAGAACAATGATGAGTTCAGTCCAAACAGACCGAGTCCAGTTCCACCAACAAAACAGTATCAGAACCTGCCATAGAGTGGCAGTAACGGGGGTTTTCTGATTGGCACCGGACCTCTAGTTTCTGCATCCCGAACCGCCTAAAGCACCAACTTTTGCTCTGTTCGAATTCCTATGACGTGTCCTCTGAAGGTCAGATTCAAAGGACGATTACGTCATAGCGCCCGGCGCGGGGGTCTGTTCGGATTCCAAGAGTCCTCGTTATGCAGCCTTAAAATGCGTCCTTCTTTTTGCCTGATTTAAAGGACGGGTCCGATGTATCCTCGCTATCCTTGGATATCCCAGGATTCATTGCGAGACCAAGCAAGCCGGCTGCTCCGTGATCAGTGGTGAATATCGGAAGTTCAGTTTAATATAATCCAGTCAGTGAATAGTTCCGTCTGAGATTAATGAAAATAGTTGTTTTAATGGTTATAGAGTCAGATATGTGGCGGTAATGTTTGATTTATCTAAAGGTTTTTATGTTACTGTGTAAATGGGTTTGGCTGGAATTTAAGGACAGATTCTAATATATCTGCAAGGTGGGGACTATAAATCTGATAGGAGTTTAATTTCTTTTATTGCCGTTTTGCACAATTTGCTTAACTAAGACATTTTTTTGTGGAATATTAGAAATTTTGCAGATATATTCTTTATACATACATTGTTTAGATTTACTTATATATTTCTACCCCTTTTAATAGAATAGAAAATCCCTTTATTGTTCCACAATGGGCAAATTTACAGCAGTAGAAAGATTATTGAAAATGGTCACACAAATGTGGACCTTAGAAAAATGTCTAAGAATAACATGGCAGGAAATCCTGTATAGTGTTTTAACAATATAAAACTGGAGAATAAATAACCAATATCCAGCTATGGACATTTTTACAATAATGGATATTCGAAAAGAGATGTGCCAAATGACAGCAGCATATTATTTATTATTTAACTGACTAAGGTTTCTATCATTACATTTGATTTTATTTGTTCCTGCTCCAGGTGGTTGGAACCTTTATTCCACTCAATAAAAACAGTTTTTGAAACTTCGGTTTTCATTCTTTTTCTGCTTTGTGCGTCAACTTTCACGAAGGGTAGACCTGTTCGGATTCACAGCCCAAACTCTTCCGGTCTCCTTTTTTTCACAGACTTTGAAGGATCCAGTCCAGGTAGATCGTGTCCTTGGAGGATGCAGCCCAGGAATTCGAACATTGCCTTTATGTGGCATTATACAGTCTGAGGGCGAGCAGCTCAGGAACCCTCCATGGACTCGTTTCAAGGCCGTCAGGACATTTTAAACCTGAATATTCTGTTATCAATAATAAGGCCTAATTTCTTTCACCGCTTTGTTCTTTCTACGTCCTTCAGTGTATCATCGATTGTCTGCTTGTTTGTTTCTCAGTCCAATCAGTTTCCCCACTGTGGGACGATGAAGGCATTTCTTCTTCTACTGTGGACCCCAATTAAAATCTGTGTTTTATTCTGAGTGGAAGGATTCCAATACCCCTTTCCCACTGGCTGAAAATATCTGTTTAAAACCGGGAACAATCGGCATTTAGTGGCAGTGGGAACAGCTCACGATTGCTTGTCTATCCGGGTCAAACGACTCGGCAAGCGACGGGGATTGAAATCGTCTCGGCTCTGATCGGAATTGTGGGCCAGGGTTACCCGCTTAATTACTTGACACCATTGTATGCAACTTACAGATGCCAACACACCACGCCAGTTGGTTCCTATCTAACAAGCAGAAACAACTCTGTTTCCATTTGATAAACATGGAGCTGAATGAGGATGAGGAGGGAGGCACCTAGCTGGACTCTGAGGAAGACAGTGATGAACCTGACAAATGAAGATGTGGATGAAACTTCCATCTCATACCCCTTTCCCACTGGCCAGTCGGTCTGATCTAACAAGCAGAAACACTCTGTTTCCATCCGATAAACATTAGGGATGTAACGATATTGACATTATCTGCTATCGCGGTGGTAAACGTGTCTCGATATCGTCGTGGTTGGGTTACAATAATAAAAGGGCAGGTGTCCGTCAAAAAGCAAGAGGAATAAACACAGTCCCGCAGAAAAAAATCCTTAACTGCATAGACCATGATCCTTTGCGCTGCATCGTCATACCAACCTTAAGCCAATAGGATTGCACGCAGATTGCACGCTGTCCACACAAGCTCGCAGCAAGCTAGCATGGCCTGTTGTGTATTAATCTGCACTAATCATAAGATAAAATAAAGTTAATGTTTTATAAGTTTAAAGTTGTTTTCACAAATGAGAAAAACAGAGCAGTTCAAGGCTAAGAGGAGAAAAACAGAGAGCAGTGAGTGTGTGTAGTTACTGCGCCTGGCTCAGAGGAGTGAGGTTTGCAGGACAACGCAGGGTGGAGGCCCCTTAGTGATAAGAAAAGCACCCGCAATAAAAATGAAATATTTGACATCCCAAGGTAGTCCAGCTCAGCAAAAATCTGACCATACAAAGGAGTTGTTATTTTCAGAGCACATGGAGCAGTAATGATCCCACAAAGGGTGATGAGACGAAGGGGGAGCAGTATGGTCGTCTGACATGACCTGAAGCAAGAGCTGACATGTTTTTGACTAAACCGTCATAAGTTTCTGATTTGAATGCACCAGATGTTTTCATGGCCTGAGAGAGTGCTCTCACAAGAATGAGATGTGTATATGAATGTCACCGTGTTTTGCAGATAAATATCAATGTGACCTTTACCAATGACTGAAATATGTTCTGAAGGGGGTTTTTCCACCGATAAAGAAATGTATAAAAGGGAGCTGGTTTCACCATTTGTCAGCTTCGGCTCACCAGCTCTGTGTAAATATGTAGTGTTCAGCAATAAACTCACTGGACCCGGACTCAGCGGCCTCTGTCTAAATTTTTTGATCTTTGTTTGAGTCTTTTTCTGCTTTTTAAGAACTTTGAATTTTTATAAAACTTAGCTTCAATTTTAAGTCGTCAAGAAGAGAATTATAGGACGACATAATTGGCGAGCCAGCTGCAGGAGGAAAGCAAAAAGGGGACGTCGGACGATCTGCAGGCACCAGCTGGAGAGCGTGGAACCCCAAGGGCCCATAATTCACCATTTAAAGGTGAGTGAATTCGTTATAATTTTCTAAATTAGTGGGGAACCAGCCTCCGACTGCTGCTTGTGAGGGTCAGACGTCACAAAGCTCTCCTAAAAAAACCTAGTTTTCCAAATTTAATAAAGTAATTTCCAAATTTGATAAGAATTTATATAACAGTATATAAAGGCAGATTAAGCTGAGGAAGGGTCCAGGTATGTATATATGTATATATGAATGTATGTTTTAAGTGTTATTAATGTTTGTGTTAAACTGTTCTGTGTTTGAATTATTTTGTAAATAAGTTAAGCTTAACACGGGTTGTTCTGAGCGGATGATTGGTAAAGGGACAGATTGATATATAGTCTGTGGAAGCCATAAATCCGGAACCAATAGTGTACGCGTGTTACGTGAGGGTATCAGTGACTAAGGTAGTCAGGGTGCTCCACGAGAAGGCTTAAGTAGTCTTAAGGTATTGGAATATGTGCCACTGTAGGGAAACAGTGAGGAAAAGGTATTGTGCCACTGTAGGGAAACAGTGAGGAAAAGGTATTGTGCCACTGTAGGGAAACAGTGAGGAAAAGGTATTGTGCCACTGTAGGGAAACAGTGAGGAAAAGGTAGAAAGAAGAAGTGCACTGTAAATATGTATATATAATTATTTGTCTTGTGTGTCTGTGTTAGTGTGTAGAGTGAAAGAGCTGAGTAACTGTAAATATGTATATATAATCATTTGTCTTGTGTGTCTGTGTTAGTGTGTAGAGTGAAAGAGCTGAGTAACTGAGGGGAAGTAAGGGGTAAGTGATATTAATAAATAAAGATTATAATATAGATAAAGCTTAAAGTGATATTAATAAAGATTATAATATAGATAAAGCTTAAAGTGATATTAATAAATAAAGATTATAATATAGATAAAGCTTAAAGATATAATAATAAATTAATAGAAGTAATTAGTACAGAATATAGTTAAAAGGAATAACCTGAAAATTAATAAGGATTGGAAAACAAAATTGATAACTGAAAAAAACACAAGAGTTATGAGAATGAAATAAATTAACGAAATTCCTAAATAAGATTGGAAGAAATTGTAAGCTTTATAAGATAAAGATATTACAAGTATATATTATTACAAACTATAGTCTACATAAAGTAAAATATATAAAGTATAGAATTAGTGAAAGTGCAAAATAACATTACAAATTTGTTTTATTAAAGATTTTATCTCAAAATTGAAAAGATCTAAATTTAGGAAGTAAATTAACTTGAAAGAAACTAAAAGAAAATAAACACGATCTGTATTGAAGAGAGCAGAACCAGTTAAGATAAAAATTAACTGAGGATTACAAAGACTGGTGAATAAGCACAGACCTGACGGTTGAGTGACTGCTAGTAGCCATGGGAATCAATATGAGCAAACAACAGTCTGACGGGCTGACGCCAGCCGAATTGGTAATATTGACACACCCATCCAATAAACGCAAAATTCGAAAATGCATGACCAAATGGCATAAGATGACATCTGGAAAAAATCGTTGGCCTAAAGAAGGCAGCTTTGATCCTTCATGCTGTGATGAAGTTGAAGAAAGATTGAGAAATAAAGATAAAAAACGGGACCGGATGCTTTTGCATAAAAAACAGAGGCATGCTGAACAGAGAGACATCCTGCAGTATTTCAAAGTAGAACACCAAAAGAGCCCAACAGCCCCTGAGTACATTAATCATAAGCCACCACCTTATCACCCTAGCGCA